ACGTCACCCCTGGGTCGCCTGTGTCACCCGCACAGGGCACCCACGGCACCCCCATGTCACCCGCGACACCCCAACGTCACCCTTGTGTCACCTGTGTCACCCACGTGGGGCACCCGCGTCACCCCCATGTCACCCATGACACCCCGACATCACCCCTGGGTCACCTCTGTCACCCGCACAGGGCACCCACGGCACCCCCATGTCACCCACGACACCCCGACATCATCCCCACGTCACCTATGTCACCTGCGCAGGGCACCTGCGTCACCCCTGTGTCACCCCTACGTCACCCATATCACCCACATGGGTCACCCGTGTCACCCTCCCGTCACCCGTGTCACCTGCCTGTGTAACCTATGTCACTCCTGCGTCACCCACATCACCCCCACATCACCCATGTCACCCGCGTGGGGCACCCGCATCACCCCCGTGTCACCCATGTCACCCTCGCGTCACCCCTACGTCACCCATATCACCCACATGGGTCACCCGTGTCACCCCCGCATCATCTGGGTCACCCCTTGCGTGACCTGTGTCACCCGCCTGGGTCACCCGCGTCATCCCCACATCACCTGTGTCACCCCGTGGGGTCACTACTGCATCACCCATGTCACCCACTCGTGTCACCCGCATCCCCCCTGGGTCCCCCCGTGTCCCCCCATGTCACCCGTGTCCCCCCGTGTCCCCCCATGTCACCCGTGTCCCCTCGTGTCCCCAGAGTTCTGCGAGAACCTGTCACCCGAGTGCCGCGAGAGCGTCATCATGGGACAGATCCTGCCCTGCATCAAGGTAGGGGACACTGGGGACAGCGCGGGGACAGCGTGGGGACACTGTGGGGACATTGGGGACAGCGTGGGGACATTGGGGAGAGCGTGGGGACATTGGGGACATTGGGGAGAGCGTGGGGACATTGGGGACAACGTGGGGACACTGGGGACAGCGCGGGGACATTGGGGAGAGCGTGGGGACATTGGGGAGAGCGTGGGGACATTGGGGACATTGGGGACAGCGTGGGGACACTGGGGACAGCGTGCGGACACTGGGGACATTGGGGACAGCGTGGGGACACTTGGGACAGTGTGGGGACAATGTGGGGACACTGGGGACAGCGCGGGGACAGTGCAGGGATACTGGGGACAGTGTGGGGACATTGGGGACAATGTGGGGGACAATGTGGAGACACTGGGGACAACCTGGGGACAGTGTGGGGACATTGGGGACAACGTGGGGACACTGGGGACAACATGGGGACAGTGTGGGGGACAGTGTGGGGACATTGGGGACAGCGTGGGGACACTGGGAACAGTGTGGGGACATTGGGGACAGTGTGGGGCCAGTGCGGGGGTGCCATGGACACCATAGGAAGGCTGGGGACATTGGGGACACCCTGGGGACACCATGGGGACCCCGTGGGGCTGGAGAACCCCCAGGAGATGGTCCATGGGGCCACCACCGCGATGTCCCCCACGGCTTGGGGACACCATGGGGACCCCATGGGGCTGGAGAACCCCCAGGAGATGGTCCATGGGGCCACCACCGCGATGHCCCCCACGGCTTGGGGACACCATGGGGACCCCGTGGGGCTGGAGAACCCCCAGGAGATGGTCCMTGGGGCCACCACCGCGATGWCCCCCACGGCTTGGGGACACCATGGGGACCCCGTGGGGCTGGAGAACCCCCAGGAGATGGTCCATGGGGCCACCACTGCGCCGTCCCCCATGGCCTGGGGACACGCGGTGACACGCGGTGACACTTGGTGGCAGGAGCTGGTGTCGGACGCCAACCAGCACGTGAAGTCGGCGCTGGCCTCGGTCATCATGGGGCTGTCGCCCATCCTGGGCAAGGAGAACACGGTGGAGCATCTGCTGCCGCTGTTCCTGGCGCAGCTCAAGGACGAGGTGAGCGCGGGGGGACACGGGGGACACGGGGGGACACGGGGGGACAATGGGGACACGGGACATGGGGGGACACTGGGGCGATGGGGGCACACTGAGGTGACATCGTGGTGGCGCCACGGTGACATCACAGTGGCCCTGTGGTGGTGGCGTTGTCACGGTGACGCGGCGGTGTTGTCACGGTGACGCGGCGGAGGTGTCACGGCCACGTTGCGGCGACGCTGCGGTGAAGCCGCGCTGCTGTCGCGGTGTTGTCGCGGTGGTGTTGGAGCAACACCGTGGTGTCGGCGCGCTGCTGTCTCAGTGACACCGCAGTGACGCTGTGCTGTTGTCGCGGTGTCGTCGTGCTGTCATTGCCGTCTTGTGGCAGTGTTGTCGCGGTGTTGTCACCCTGTTGTCCTGCAGCGCCCCAAAGTGGTGTCATTGCGGTGTTGTCACCCCGTTATCACGCTCTTGTCCCCCGCAGTGCCCCGAGGCGTGCCCCAACATCACCTCCAACCTGGCCCGTTGTCACTGCGGTGTCATCGCGGTGTTGTCAGCCCGTTGTGACACTGTTGTCACATTGTTGTCACCCCGTTGTGACACTGTTGTCCTGCAGTGCCCCGAGGCGCGCCTCAGCATCATCTCCAACCCGGCCTGTTTTCACTGCGGTGTCACTGCGGTGTCATTGCGGTGTTGTCATGGTGTTGTCGCAGTGTTGTCACGCTGTTGTCATGGTGCTGTAACGGTGTTGTCACCCCGTTGTGACGCTGTTGTCCCCCGCAGTGCCCTGAGGCGCGCCTCAACATCATCTCCAACCTGGCCCATTGTCCTCGCAGTGTCACTGTGATGTCACTGTGGTGTCATCGCGGTGTTGTCACGCTGTTGTCGCGGTGTTGTGACACTGTTGTCACAGTGTTGTCCCCCCGCAGTGCCCCGAGATGCGCCTCAACATCATCAACCAGCCCATTGACATTGCGGTGTGTCTGTGGTGTCATTGTGGTGTTGTCACGCTGTTGTCACGGTGTTGTGATGCTGTTGTGACACTGTTGTCACCCCGCAGTGCCCCGAGGCGCACCTCAACATCATCTCCAACCTGGCCCGTTGTTACTGCAGTGTCTCTGTGGTGTCATCGCGGTGTTGTCACGCTGTTGTCACGGTGTTGTGATGCTGTTGTGACGCTGTTGTCCCCCCGCAGTGTCCTGAGGCGCGCCTCAACATCATCTCCAACCTGGCCCATTGACATTGCGGTGTTGTTGCAGTGTTGTTGTGGTGTTGTGACACTGTTGTCACGGTGTTGTCACCCCGTTGTGACGCCGTTGTCACGGTGTTGTCACCCCGCAGTGCCCCGAGGCGCGCCTCAACATCATCTCCAACCTGGCCCCTTGTCACTGCAGTGTCATTGCGATGTTGTCGCGGTGTTGTCACGCTGTTGTCGCGGTGTTGTGACGCTGTTGTGACGCTGTTGTCACGCGCAGTGCCCCGAGGTGCGCCTCAACATCATCTCCAACCTGCCCATTGACATTGCGGTGTCATCGCGGTGTTGTCACGCTGTTGTCGCGGTGTTGTGACGCTGTTGTCACGCTGTTGTCCCCCCGCAGTGCCCCGAGGTGCGCCTCAACATCATCTCCAACCTGCCCATTGACATTGCGGTGTCTCTGTGGTGTCATCGCGGTGTTGTCACACTGTTGTCGCGCTGTTGTGACGCTGTTGTGACGCTGTTGTCCCCCCGCAGTGCCCCGAGGTGCGCCTCAACATCATCTCCAACCTGGACTGCGTCAACGAGGTCATCGGCATCCGGCAGCTCTCGCAGTCGCTGCTGCCGGCCATCGTGGAGCTGGCCGAGGACGCCAAGTGGCGCGTGCGCCTCGCCATCATCGAGTACATGCCCCTGCTCGCGGGGCAGCTGGTGAGTACCGGCACACGGGGACACCTTGGGGACACGGGGACGTCACGGGTGGAACGGGGACGGCGAGAAACCCCGGGACACGGGACACGTTGGGGACACATGGGGACACGTTGGCAACACGTTGGGGACATGTTGGGGCCATGGGACATGTTGGGGACACCTTGGGGACATGGGGACACGTTGGGGCCACGTTGGGGCCAGTCCGTTCGGGTCCATTCCACTCGGTCCTGGTTGCTTCTGGGATCCATTCTGGTCGGTCCCAGTTCCGGTCCTGGTTCCAGTCCCGGTTCCGGTCCCGATTCTGGTCCTGGTTCCGGTCCTGGTTCCAGTCCTGGTCCCAGTTTGGGTCAGTGCCAGTTCTGGTCCCGGTTCTGGTCCCAGTCCTGGTCCCGGTTCTGGTCCCGGTCCCGGTCCTGCTCCCGGTTCGGGTCCCGGTTCCGGTCCCAGTTCTGGTGCCGGTTCCAGTCCCGGTTCCGGTCCCGGTTCGGGTCCTGGTCCCGGTCCCGGTTCTGGTCCCGGTTCTGGTCCGGGTTCTGGTCCCAGTCCGGGTCCCAGTTCTGGTCCCGGTTCCAGTCCCAGTTCTGGTGCCGGTTCCAGTCCCGGTCCTGGTTCTGGTCCCGGTCCCGGTTCTGGTCCTGGTCCCGGTTCTGATCCCGGTGCCGGTCCCGATTCTGATCCCGGTGCCGGTTCTGGTCCCGGTTCGGGTCCCGGTCCCGGTCCTGGTCCCGGTTCGGGTCCCGGTCCCGGTCCCGGTCCCGATTCTGATCCCGGTTCCGGTTCTGGTCCCGGTTCGGGTCCCGGTCCCGGTCCCGGTTCTGGTCCTGGTTCTGGTCCCGGTTCCGGTCCCGGTCCCGATTCTGATCCCGGTGCCGGTTCTGGTCCCGGTTCGGGTCCCGGTGCCGGTTCTGGTCCTGGTTCTGGTCCCGGTTCCGGTCCCGATTCTGATCCCGGTCCCGGTTCTGGTCCCTGTTCTGGTCCCGGTCCCGGTCCTGATTCTGATCCCGGTCCCGGTCCGGATCCCGACCTCTCTCCCCGCAGGGCGTGGAGTTCTTCGACGAGAAGCTCAACTCGCTCTGCATGGCCTGGCTGGTCGACCACGGTGAGGGGACTGGGGGGACTGGGGGCACTGGGGGGCACTGGGGACACTGGGGGGACACTGGGGGCACTGGGGACACTGGGGGGACACTGGGGGGACACAGGGACACGTGTTCCCGCCTGCACAGCGTGTTCCCACACGTTCACACGTGTTCCCGCGTGTCCGTACGTGTTCATACGTGTTGGCACGCGTGGCCCTGCGTGCCGGCAGTGCTCACGCATGATCACACGTGTGTTCACGCGTGTCCCCGCGTGCCGGCAGTGTCTACACGTGTCCATGTGTGTCTCCACGCGTGTGCCAGCAGTGTCCATACGTGTTCATACATGTCCACACGTGCTCACACGTGTCCACACGTGTTCACGCGTTTCCCCACACGTGTGCCGGAAGTGTCCACACGTGTCCATACATGTTCACATGTGTTCACACGTGTTCACACATGCTCACATGTGTCCCCACGTGTGTCCCTGCGGTGCCGGCAGTGTCCATATGTGTCCACACCTGTCCATATGTGTCCACATGTGTCCGTACATGTCCACACATGTCCATGCATGTCCACACATGTTCATACATGTTCACACGTGTCCCCACGGTGCCGGCAGTGTCCATATGTGTCCACACGTGTTCACACGTGTCCATACATGCTGACACGTGTTCACACGTGTTCATACATGTCCACGGGGTGCCGGCAGTGTCCACACGTGTTCATACATGCTCACACGTGTCCCCACGCGTGTCCGCCCGCGGTGCCGGCAGTGTCCATATGTGTCCACACGTGTCCATACATGTTCACATGTGTCCATACCTGTCCACACGTGTCCATACGTGTCCACACGTGTCCATACCTGTTCACACGTGTCCTTATGTGCTCACAGGTGTCCATACGTGTCCACACGTGCTCACGCGTGTCCCCACGTGTCCGCCCGCGCTGCCGGCAGTGTCCATATGTGTCCATACGTGTCCATCCATGTTCACACGTGTCCATACCTGTCCACACGTGTCCATGTTTACACATGTCCATACGTGCTCACACGTGTCCATACATGTTCCCACGTGCTCACGCGTGTCCCCACGTGTCCCCACGCGTGTCCCCACGCTACCTGCAGTATCCACACGTGTCCATCCATGTTCACACGTGTCTATACCTGTTCACACATGTCCATATGTGCTCACACGTGTCCACACGTGCTCACGTGTGTCCATACGTGCTCACACGTGTCCACAGTGCTCACGCGTGTCCCCATGCGTGTCCCCGCGCTGCCGGCAGTGTCCACACGTGTCAATACATGCTCACACGTGTCCATACGTGGTCACACATGTCCATACATGCTCACACGTGTCCACACATGTCCCCGCGTGCCCGCGCTGCCGGCAGTGTCCACACGTGTCCATCCATGTCCACACGTGTCCATCCATGTCCACACGTGTCCATACGTGCTCACACGTGTCCATACCTGTCCACACGTGTCCATACGTGCTCACACGTGTCCCCACGTGCTCACGCGTGTCCCCGCGTGTCCCCGCGTGTCCCCGCGTGTCCCCGCGCCGCCGGCAGTGTCCACACGTGTCCATACCTGGCCACACGTGTCCATACATGTCCATACGTGTCCATACATGTTCACACGTGTCCACACGTGCTCACGCGTGTCCCCATGCGTGTCCCCGCGCTGCCGGCAGTGTCCACACGTGTCAATACATGCTCACACGTGTCCATACGTGGTCACACATGTCCATACATGCTCACACGTGTCCACACATGTCCCCGCGTGCCCGCGCTGCCGGCAGTGTCCACACGTGTCCATCCATGTCCACACGTGTCCATACGTGCTCACACGTGTCCATACCTGTCCACACGTGTCCATACGTGCTCACACGTGTCCACACGTGCTCACGCGTGTCCCCGCGTGTCCGCGCGTGTCCCCGCGCCGCCGGCAGTGTCCACACGTGTCCATACATGTCCACACGTGTCCCCACGTGCTCACACGTGTCCATACATGTTAACACGTGTCCCCACGTGCTCACGCGTGTCCCCGCGTGTCCCCATGTGTCCCCGCGCTGCCGGCAGTGTCCACACCTGTCCATCCATGTCCACACGTGTCCATACGTGCTCACACGTGTCCACACGTGCTCACGCGTGTCCCCGCGTGTCCGCGTGTCCGCGCACCGCCGGCAGTGTCCACACGTGTCCATACCTGGCCACACGTGTCCATACATGTCCACACGTGTCCATACATGCTCACACGTGTCCCCATGTGCTCACGCGTGTCCCCGCGTGTCCCCGCGCCGCCGGCAGTGTCCACACGTGTCCATCCATGTCCGTACGTGTCCATACATGTTAACACGTGTCCACACGTGTCCCCACGTGCTCACGCGTGTCCGCGCGTGTCCGCGCGCCGCCGCAGTGTACGCGATCCGCGAGGCGGCCACGAGCAACCTGCGCAAGCTGGTGGAGAAGTTCGGGCGCGAGTGGGCGCAGGGCGCCATCGTGCCCAAGGTGCTGGCCATGGCGGCCGACCCCAACTACCTGCACCGCATGACCACGCTCTTCTGCGTGAACGTGAGCGCCGCGGGAGCGGGAGCGGGAACGGGAGCGGGAACGGGAGCGGGAACGGGAACGGGCAGCGGGAACGGGGAGCGGGAACGGGAACGGGGAGCGGGAACGGGGAGCGGGAACGGGAGCGGGGAGCGGGAGCGGGAACGGGGAGCGGGAACGGGAACGGGGAGCGGGAACGGGAACGGGACCCCGGGAACGGGACCCCGGGAATGGGCAACGGGCAGCGGGGAACGGGGAACGGGCACTGGGAACGGGGAATGGGCACCGGGAACGGGGAGCGGGAATGGGGAGCGGGAATGGGAGCGGGACTGGGAACGGGGAGCGGGAACGGGGAGCGGGCACCGGGAACGGGGAACGGGGAACGGGAACGGGGAGTGGGAATGGGCAACGGGCACCGGGAATGGGGAACGGGAACGGGGAGCGGGGAATGGGCATCGGGAACAGGGAGCGGGAATGGGAGCGGGGAGCGGGAATGGGCAACGGGCAGCGGGGACGGGGAGCGGGAATGGGGAACGGGCACCGGGAATGGGCAACGGGCACTGGGAACGGGGAACGGGAATGGGAACGGGCACCGGGAACGGGGAGCGGGAATGGGGAACGGGCACCGGGAATGGGCAACGGGCACTGGGAACGGGGAACGGGAACGGGAACGGGGAGCGGGAATGGGCAACGGGCACCGGGAACGGGGAACGGGCAGCGGGAACGGGGAGCGGGAATGGGGAACGGGGAGCGGGACCCCGGGAACGGGACCCCGGGAACGGGCAACGGGATCCCGGGAATGGGGAGCGGGGAGCGGGTAACCGGACCCCGGGAACAGGGAACGGGACCCCGGGAACGGGAAGTGGGGAACGGGGAACAGGGAGCGGGGAGTGGCGAGCGGGAACCACGGGAACGGGGAGTGGGGAGCGCGACCCCTGGGAACGGGCAATGGGGCCCCTTTAACCCGGACACCTGGGCCCTTTCCCGGACGCCTGGGCCCCTTGCACCGGGTGCTGGGGTCCCTCCCGGACACCGGGGCCCCTTTCCCGGCCGCCGGGGCCCCTCATGGCGGGTGCGGGGTCCCCCCCTCCCAAGTGCCAGGCCCGTTTCCCGGACGCCGGGGCCCTTCCCGGCCGCCGGGGCCCCTCATGGCGGGTGCGGGGCCCCTTTCCCGGCTGCCGGGGCCCCT